GCCTTTGCCTCCTGCCTTTGCCTCCTGCCTTTGCCTCCTGCCTTTGCTGTGAGCACTTTGAACTCTTGCTTACCCCAGCCCTTCAGCCACCTGGCCTTTCACTCCCTCACACTGGCAGAACCCATCTCTGGCCTTGGGGATGTGCTGTTCTCTGGCTCGGCATGCTCTTCCTCCTCTCCGTCTGGCTGGTTCTTTTCAACCCTGAGTTAGCAGTCATGTCACCTCTTTGGAGAAACCTCCCATTTTCATTCTTTATGGCATTCATTAAAGTCATGTATTTTAGTGAGTGTGGTGGCATTTACTTTTACTAATATGAAGGCATATAATATATATGATATGTATTATGATGAAAGATATACACATATGATATGCTTTAGTGAGGTCTACATTATTTCTTTGTTTCTCGTTACCCATGAGATATTGGTTTTGCCTCAACAGCCTATGAATGTCAGGAGAGAAAAGAGAAGATCAATTTTACTCCCCTTTAGCTTCCAGTACCTGGAAGAGCACCTGGCGTGTGGCAAGCACTCAGTGATTGGGTAGGTGAAAAGCTCATTGCATGGGGCATCCGCACAAATCCCAGTGGTCCTCCCCGGCTTTGGTTATGGCTGTGCCATCTCTTTCTGAATGTCATTTCCTTAAAGATGAAGCATTTTTGGAGCTTCATCTTTGGAGCAGAGACTAAGATTTAGATAAAGCCGGAAGGCCCGGGGTAAACGTGGACACAGGCTTTGCTTCATGCATTGATTTAGTTAGGGTAGAGAGCATCACATCAGTTCTCTGAGGAAGTGGAACTACCCGAATTCTTCCCTTACACAGCTCCTGGGTTCCTACCTCGAGTCTTTACTGAGACGAGGAATCTCAGAGAAATAGGGACACTTCCTATTTGGCTCTTTCCACATAGCCTGCGGGTGGACTGAACAGACATGGCTTCTGTGTTTGTGACTACAAATCTGCAAATGGTAGAATAGAATTCCAAAAACACATCCCAGTGTCATTGTAACTAGCTGGGATCACTTCTCATTTCCATGTAAAGCAAACGGTTTCAAAGGAGAAGTAGTTTTCTTAAATACACCCCTCCACCCCCCCCAGCCACCCCCCCGCCATCAGCAACTCAGCTCCTCAAATAATTTAAGTGAGCTACATGAGCAAGAGATAAAAGTCAAGTGTTTCCGCTTGAATTGAGGAAGCGGGACCAGGATGCTTCTCTTCAAGGCTGGCCGAATGGCCCTCTTTGGGACAGTTGACTGTCCCTGTCCTAAAGTGTTGCCTATTTGGCTGCAGCTACCTAGTTAAAAGACGAGGCGACAAAGGCTTTGCGGAGTTTGATAGTAAGATCTTTTAGGTGTGTGCAGCAAGCGGGGCATACGGCAGGCAGCGCCTGTGTGCAAGGAGGAGACACCAGCCTTTTAGAAAAGAAATGAGGGCCCAAGAGAGAGGAAACCCAGAAGACTTGTCCTCATGGTGATCTAGGAAGGGGAAACTGTCACCCTTCCCTTTCCAGTCTGGTGATTTCAGATATGAAAGGGGCCACCTTTGGACCTGTATCTGCTCTACATTCAGTTGCTAGCCCCACCCTATGTGTGTGTGTGTGTGTTGGGGGGGGGTTGTTCATGAATGCTTTTCTGTGTGTCTCCTTTGGGTCTCCCAGGCACCACTCTGGCTTTGACTCCAGGCAAGTGTGCTGAGGCTGCAGCCAGGGCTACCTGGCAGCTCCAGGTGCTGTGAGCATGCTGCCATGGAAACGGCCCTGGGGTTGGTGGCAAGGCGGCAGTTTCCCAAAGCTAGGCGGATTCAGGAGAGGGAGAGACAGGGGAAACTCAGACCCTTCAGAGTGGTCTCTTTGATTCCCCTCCTACAATTCACAGAAACCCAGGTGGGTGCTGGGAGAAAGTGGGAGGAGCCAGGGAGGCAGAGAACTGGGAAGAGACACACAGAGCTGATCTGGGGGCTGAGTAGGGGAGTCTTCTCAAGAACTGTTCATAAGGACCAGGAATAGTCAGTTGGATGTGAAGAGCTGGCCGCTGGCTCAAAGGAAGGAGCAGAAAGGGGTCTGGCTTTTGTCCTCAGAGGAGGGACAGAACCCACCTCTGCTCTAGTCAGGGAATTGAGTTTGCAAGGAAGGAGGCACCTGTTCTTTAGCAAAACCTCACTGAATGTGTCTCTCTTGCTCCATAGAGCTAAAGCAGCCTAGAGCAAATGCAGGGAGCATAGGCTATATTTGTAGCCATCTTCAAAGCCCCAACAGTGTCCCTTCCACTGCCAGCTCATTCTGGTGCTGCGGGAAGGGTGAACCATAAGGTTGCTCAGTCCTTCACCCTGGGTGATGTGCAGCCATGTAGCATCAGACTTGAGTTTGTGGCCCCAGGACTGGGTGCTCATGGACAAGATGCTTGCAGACATATATTCCTCCACCTGCGAAATGTGGGTGGATAGCTTTTATTCTCTCAGAGCAGAGACCTGCAGACCAGGTCCAGGGACAGCACCCCATGGATGTACTTTCTCTTTCTTCCTTCTACCAGGGCATCCCTGTGAGGTTCCAGCTCCCTGTATGTGATCAGAGGATGAGCGAGCCACAGGGCCAGGAGCTCAGAGCTGAGTGCCCTGTCTGCTGGAACCCCTTCAACAATACATTCCACACCCCCAAAGTGCTAGACTGCTGTCACTCTTTCTGCGTGGAATGCTTGGCCCACCTCAGCCTGGTGACCCCAGCCAGGCGCCGCTTGCTCTGCCCACTCTGTCGTCAGCCCACCGTGCTGGCTTCAGGGCAACCAGTCACTGACTTGCCTACAGACACTGCCATGCTGACCCTGCTCCGCCTAGAGCCCCACCACGTCATCCTCGAAGGCCACCAGCTCTGTCTCAAGGACCAGCCCAAGAGCCGCTACTTCCTGCGTCAGCCTCAGGTCTACACCCTGGACCTTGGCCCTGAGCCTGAGAGCCAGACTGGGCTTCCTCAGGACACAGCTCCTGACAGGAGGCCGGTGCCCATCCCCAGTCACTACTCTCTCAGAGAGTGCGTCCGCAACCCTCACTTCCGGATCTTCGCCTATCTGATGGCTGTCATCCTCAGTGTCACCCTGCTGCTCATCTTCTCCATCTTTTGGACTAAGCAGTTCTTCTGGGGCATGGGGTGAGCACTCTGTGTTCCAGGACAAGGAACAGAGCCTTTCTCAGTGATTGCTGGACCGGGGACTACAGAGCTGCCTTTGATGTTACCTTTCTTTTAGTATTGCTCATTTTACAGTCCCGGGGATCGGCTAAGTCTGCTTTGGAAAACAGAGATGGCCAGACAGAAAGAGAAGAGCTGAAGGGTCAGGGGTCTGATGGTAAACTAATGGGTCACGGAAGGTAGAGTAGTTTTAGGGCTACACGGTCGCAAAGCAAGTTGTGCCAAAAGGCTGGACAGCAGCACCCGATATCCAACTAATTGAGAGAGCTTGTAGCCTTTCACTGGGGGAGTGTAGAGCTTGTTCCTGTGTTGCTGATGATTCTGGAAAGTGTTTGAAGTTTGTGGGCCCATGTGCTTGTCTCCCCTTTCAGCTTTTTCTGATTCTTAACCACTGTTCCCAGTAAAGCTAGCCAGCATTCTTTAAGTCATTGATTTTTTTTTCCTTCCACAACCTTTACTGGGCAGACTGAGAGGAAAGAAAAGACAGAACGATCCAGAAGTGACCCTCAGGGAAGGGAGGGTATACAGGGTGACATCTTCAGATGGAGTGAAGAAATGAATCTAAAGGTGCAGGAAGCCAGGATGACTAGGAAGAACTTGGGGCTGAGGCAAAGGTCTCCATTTCTCCTGGTCAGTGCTTGCAGGACGGATGGAGCCTAGCTCAGTTCCATAACTCTGGTCTTAAAGATGCAATGCCTCATCTGTGTCTCAGGCTTGAGTAGTGTGGGGTGCAGAAAGTGACCTTGGTTTTCTCTTCATGACACAACCTAAAGTTTAGCCCAGCCAGCTGCTGCTTGACACTCTACCACATAAATGCTACTCCTTTGGTTCAAACATGTCCTTCTGGCTTTCAACTTTGACGCAATCTCAAAGTGTCTAAAATAATCAGAAAGACATCTTTTTTTTTCTTCTTGATTTATAGAATAAGCTGTCAGAGATCAGAACTTGAGTCAGTTTTATTTGCTCTAAATATTTTCACAGAAGTATCATTTATTTACAACTTCTTTAGAGGCACAAAGGAGAAAGATATATTTTGATTTAGCAAAACCAGTTTTTTTTTTTTAAACCAGAGAGTCTTAAGCTCTGATGTGTAGATTTCTCCATTATGAAACTGGAAAGGTACCCACATTTCCTCCTGAGACTAGTGGCTGTGTCCCTGTTGCCCTCATCAGGTAACTGCACTAATAGTGAACTTGACATTTCCCACTGACCTCACTTCTCCACACTTTTGCTTAGTTGTAGCAAGTATGTCTGGCAACCATCTCTCCATATTCTATGAACTAAGATGGACAGGGGCAGAGAAGAGCTGGTCAAAGCCCAAGAAGGAACATTTCTCCATCTCTAGAGCCCCTGGTCTAAGGAAGCAGATGATGGAGCCGAGGCTCAGCCCAGGGCTATCCCTGGAGTCCCTTCCTTAAGAATACAACGTACATTCTTAGGATGGTGGGGATACTAAAATCTAGTAGTTTGTTACACTGAACAGATTTTCTTTTTCTTTTTTCAAGACAGAGGGTTGTTAGCTCTTGTTTTGTATTTGTTAGTTCTAACCTTGGGGCAGTGTTAGTCATTTTTATGTCACTGTGACCACAACACCTGTTAGAGACTTGATTGGGGCTCATGGTGTCAGGGGGTACAGACCATAGGGAGGAGCCTGTGGCAAATGCTCACCACATCACAGCATACCAGGAAGCAGAGAGCAGCTGGAGAGAAGCTGGGCCAGTAACTTTCAATGACCTTTTGTGGTGACTTATTTGCACCAGCCAGGTCCTATGTCCTGAGGGTTTAGTGCCACATAACGGTGCTGGGGACATTTCCGAATCAAATCCTAGCAAGCAGTCTCACCCACTTACAGGGCATCTAGAAACACATGGCAGCACCTTCACTGGGTTTGCTGAGGCTAGGGATGGAGACCTGCCGCTGTGTCTAAGATTCAACTCTGCTCAGCAGCAACAACAGGCTCTAAGTCAAGACACAGGACTAGAAAAAGTCCATTGTTCATGAAGTCAGTGATTCGTCCATGGTATCCATAGATGGAAAGGCTGACTAGCAGCAACCAGGCCACATGCTGTCCTGGTCTTGACAATGGCCAACATTCTGTATAAAGCACTGTGACATTGCTTCACGCAGGCTCACATGGCTACACTGCCTACAGCTGGGTAATTCAGCAGTTTCTCGAGTCCACCCAGCAATTTTAAAGGAATGAGCTGTCTTAACGTGTCTGATGCACCACCTAGGTAGGGTTAAGTGACAGTGGTTCTGCCACCTAGAATTCACTATTTTCTTACAATGGTTGAAGAAATGGATCATTTCCCCAGACACTTCCTCTGTGTAAGGCTTACGTGAAACATTTCCAACTCGAATGCTGTCTTGGATCAACCAAAAATTAAGTTTAGACCAGAGAAACCAAAACCTGGTATGGTGCCAGATCCTGAATGCAGGGTAGTATGCCAGTCTCATTTTACAGACACCACAAGAAGTCAAGAAAAAGGTACTTTCATAGCACACTGCAATGGAAATAGGTTAGGGGTAGTTAAGTGCCAAGTGAAGGATAGGCCTGAGTGGCCTAACAGTCGCACAGGGAATATACTTGGCTATGACTGGAATCAGAAGTTTAGCTGGGTGTGGTGAGCATACTTTTAACTTGGGAGGCAGAGGCAGGCGGATCTCTGAGTTTGAGGCCAGCCTGGCCTACGGTGAGTTCTAGGACAGCCAGGGCTGCACAGAGAAACCCTGTTTTGAAACCACCCCCTCCCCAAATGTTTTGTTATATACCACATATCCATGCTCTACAGAAGAGCAGGGCAGAACAGGAAGCTGGTGGAGTGTAAATTTCGAATACTGGAGAGGAGCTAATTTTACACTATACACAACCTTCTCTGAAAATGCTGCTTTATGCGGATTTAATGTGCAATTCTGGTGAGTGCAGAGGGTGTATACCTGCAGTGAGATGGTGAAGACAATCACTGAAGAGGAAGAACTATGGCGCCCAGACACACCTGGTAACGTGTTCTCCTAGGCCAACAACTCTATGTAAAAAAGCTGTAATGCATGGGTGTAATGGCTCACACCTGCAGTTTACAGAGCTTGAGATGCAGAGGCAGGAGGATTAAGAGTCTGAGGCCAATCTGAGCTATACAGCAAGACCCTGTCTAACAAAAACCTACTTCCTCCCTTGACCCTCAAAAAACCCCACTATAAACATCTAAATAAAGTAACAGAAAATGGAACAACTCACAGGCCTAGAAATATACTAGATCTCAAAACTAAAGAAGGGATCTCTTTGGACTAATGGTTAGGTTCATAAAATGCTGAACAGAAAATAATCCTTTAAAAGAGTTTTTATAGTACAATTTTACTCTCAGCAAGTGTGTGTGTGTGTGTGTGTATGTATGTATAAAAATATAAAAGGAGTTTATGTTTGGTAACACCCAAACATAAATTAGGATTTTTTCCAGTTACTTTGACATTAAGTGTTCTTTAATACATAAAATACACCCTTTAAATAACCAACAGGAAGGAGGTTGTACAACACAGACATCATGTTTGTTTTTAAAAACTCCTTTGAATCTGGATACAATGGCCAGATTGTTTTATCATTAAGGATGCCAAACTTCAAAGCCAAAGGAAGAGGCTCTAACTTGGCTCTAACAAGGCCAAGCATGCAGTTCTGAGTTCCCAATGCAGTGAACATCCTCTGTGCGTCACAGAAGAGGTCTTTTTTACTGTGGAACCATCACACAGCCGCACTCTATGGCTCTGGTCTCATTCTCGGGGGCAGAAAAGGAGCCTGCAACCAGGTACTGCTCGACAAATGGCAGCGACATGCCCTTGTAACTGGGGAGATTTCAAATCCAGTCCATCTATCTTGCTTGCTGAATCCCATGTAGTCCCACGCACATATCATGTTATAGAGAGCCAAGTTCAACCAAAAAAACCCCCACAGCTGCCAGGCACAGCAGTCCATTTCTGTAATGCCATCACTTGAAAGACAGGGACAGGAGGATCACTTACAATGTGAGGCTTCCTGACATATATACCAAGTTCCAGGACAGTCAGGGTTACACATACAGACTCTGTCTCAAAATGCCAAATAAAAAAACCAATTAAAAATGAAAGACTAGTCACAATCCTGAGGAGGGAGGGGGGAGGGCATTGAAAAGTGTTGAATCTACAGAATGTCTACAGTTTACGGCAGAATCCGAGATGAGAACTGCGTTCTAACCACGAACGGCTTGATATCACCTAAAGACTGGCTTAAAGTGAGGCTGACGTGAAAATCCAATCCTACACATGGTATTTGGCAGGAAACATGATAGAACACAACACAATTCTTTTCCTTTGAGGAAAATGGCTCCTTAGTGAGAACACAAGGTCTGAGTTCTCCCATGGTCTTGCCTACTCTGCCATCCAGAGCTTGAAGGTTCTGTCATATGAGCAAGTGGCTATGAGCTGCCCATCAGAAGAAATGTCTAGGCCCATCACTTTGCCCTCATGACCAGCCAGAGTCTTCAGTGGAGACCAGCCTGGGTGGGTCCAGATCTTCGCTGTGTTGTCGTAGGCACCTGTGAGCAAGAAGTCCCCATGGATAGCTGCAGAAGACATAAAGCAAGCATGAAGAACTCAAGTATTCAGAAAGGGCTTAAGAAAAAGAAAAAAAGACAAAGATCTGCCAAAATACATTATTTTGAAAGAAAGGCTATTCTGCATTCAGATAAACCAACCACATGCATTCTACATTCCTAGGGGGCCTCCAAGATAAAGGACAGTCATCAGGAGACGGAGGACAACCAAGAAGGACAACAGATGAAGGCTGTGTGGTGGCTCTTGCCCTGGTGGATGGTCTGTTTAGTAACATCAAGCATCTAGATAGTGCCTGATGAAGAACTCTCTGCCTCAGGAAGCATGCCTTGCCATAGTGCTATCTATAGGTATGGCAGAGGGAAGGAAATTGAAATTTGCTTCTTTAACAAGGTTCCATGTCTAAGTTAGTCTAATGCCCAGGCTGTACTCCATGAAGCAAAGGGTATTTGGTGTTAAGGCTGAGAATAAGAGAAAAGCTTACGCTCAAACTTGACCCCGGTCACTAAGTTCTGATGGGCGGGGATGGTGTAGACACAGCGTCGTTGTCGGAGGTCCCACACTTTGCAGGTGTTGTCACCACTGCCAGTGGCAATGTGGTAGCTGAGGACCAGACAGATCATAGTTAGAAACAGAAAGTCCTGTCTGACCAGGACCCTTCCCCATTCACTGAGTCTGCTTTACCCATTGGGGGAGAAATTTATCCCATAGATTTCCTTCAGGTGTCCTTCTAGGAACATAATGCAGCGTCCTGTGCGTAGGTCCCAAACCCGGCCAAATGCATCCAGTCCCCTGATGAGACAACAGAGGTATGAATATACGGAATCCAGTTTGACGAGGAAGCGGGATTGCCTAGGAGGTGAGACTACTAAGCTGCCCATCCCTTGCTTTGTGGAGGAAGTCTTACCCAGTGCCAGCCAAAGAGCCATCTTGATGGAAGGCAATGTCATACACACCCATGCTGTGGCCTTCCTGGTGTAGGATCTCCTCTTGAGCCTCTAAATCCCACAAGCGCCATGAACGGTCATAACTCAAAAATAAATAAGAATAAATTTTCCAACTTAGAAATAATCAGCGATCAACCATCAGACTAAGTGTCTCTATGACAAGGTACTATAAAGAACCATAGTTCAGCTCACGCTCCTGAACCTATTCATTCAAGCATACTAACAAGAAATGCCAGGCTAGAGGGATGGCTGAGGTAAGAGCACTGACTGCTCTTCCAGAGGTCCTGAGCACGATTCCTAGCAACCACATGGTGGCTTATAACCACCTATAATGAGATCTGGTGCCCTCTTTTGGTGTGCAGGCCTATATGTACATAGAATACTATATACTAAACAAATAAATCTTTAAAAAAAAAGGGCAAATAGATAAATAAATAGATAAATAAATAAATAAAGGCCTTTCTGACATGAACAATGTCTCACCAGCCAAGACTATATGTTTTCGATGACAGTTGGGAGACCATGAACATTCTGTAATTTAGTGGCTATTTTTAAAAAAAGAATTCCCTGGGTTGGGGTCGGGGCTCAATGGTAGGGAGGCCTTGCCTGGCATGTGCAGGGCCCTGGGTTCAGCCATAAGCACAAATGAAAAACAAACTTGTTGAAGAATGATCCAGCCAAGATGGCACTGTCTTTCTCCCTTCATTCCGCTGCTGCAACCCTTCACTCATCAGACAGTTGTATATTTACTGGAGTTTTAATTGAAATTTGGGCATAAAAGAAAATCCAGAAGGACAAATAGAGCAGATCTAGAAATAGACCCAAATGCGTATGATCAGAATGTTTTCATAAAGGTGCTAAAGGAATTTTAACAAAATCTTAAATGATGGTTGCAAATAGGCTATGGTGTTACAAATACAGAACAGATAAACTCAAGAAGGCAAAGCAACTGGAGCCTGCACCACATACATGCAAGATGTGTAAGCATATGGCAAAAACACTCAAGTGCAATGGCCACCAGGGTAGGAACACTGACATGAGGTATGACTACCTGCTTAGAATGGGCAAGAGTACAACTCACAACAGCAAACACCAACAAGAACAGCCACAAGACAGAGTAGGCAGCTCTTCTTTTTATTCTGGGGGAAACAGGGTCTCATTATGAAGCTCAGGCTGGCCTCAAACTTAAGATCTTTGTGCTGAATGTTAGGACTATAAGCATGTGGCACTGAATCCAGCTTGCCCAAATACTTTTAAAAAGCTAATATACACCTACTCTATACACCACCATTCCATGAACTAGCAATTGTACTCCTAGGTAATTACCTAAGAGAAAGGAAAAGACAACCGCCCCATCTATAAAAAGCTTCAGTAAGAATATTTATAGCCAGGGATGGGGAGATGGCACAGGATGCTCTTCCAGAAGACCCAAGTTCCAGCACCCACACGGCAGCTCACACCATGGGTAAATCTAATCTGATTCTCTTTTCTGATCTCTGTGGGCACTATGAGGCACACATGCAGGCAAAACACCCAAACACCTAAAAGGGTATTTACAGTAGCTTTATCTTGACTAGCTACAACATCGAAACATGCCCATGTGTCCATCAACAGGAGGATGCGTAAACTGTGTGGCTCAGATACACAACAGACTACAACTCAACAACACAAATGGGTATAAACAGGCAGACTAACAGAAATCAAGTCAGAGGTTGTTTGGAAGAGGTTGTGGGAGAAACATCTATACTGATGAGGGTGTGGGTCAGAAGCGGTATGCATTCCTTAAGGTTAAATTGTATAATAAAACAATCACATTCTATTGTATGTTGCTTAAACATGAAAGAAGATTTTTAGTACAACTAAGCCTCACTAACCAACCTTACGGAATCAGAAAAAGAAGCCAACATGTCCAACATGTCAGCAGGGAGAAATTTTACTTAAAAAGAAAAAAAAAAGTTTTTTTTTTTTTTCCAAGATAGAATGTTTCTGTGTAGCCCTGACTGTCCTGAACTTGCTTTATATTTATAGCCCAGGCTGGCCTCCAACTCACAGAGAGCCACCTGCTTCTGCCTCTTGAGTGCTGGGATTAAGGCATGGGCCACTACCACCCAGCTCTTATTTTATTTGTTACTAGTCTTGCTAGGTAGCCCTGGCTGGCCCTGAACGTGTGGTCCTATTTCCTCAGCCTAGAGAGTGCTAGGATTATTGGTATCTGCCATCACACCCAGCTGAGGGAGATTGCAGTATAAAGTGTAGCACACACAGTGAGATATAAAAGTAAAAATACTCTGCCCTGACTAAATCATACTCCTTTATTCTGATTCTATTACTGAAGTTTGAGAAAGTTCTAGTTGAATATCCTTGCTCCAAAACTTTACCTGGCAGATAACTGAAAAGGATTATCAAAAGCAACAGGCTTGTACAAACTGGACAGTAACAGATGGCTTACCAGGTTGTGCCCAGGAAACGCCCTGATGGATGCCACATTACCCGAGCCACACGCACTGTATGGCCTTCAATATCTGCCACTGGCTCATCACTGAAAGAAACCAAATATACAGGCATTAAAACATCTTGACAGCCATGAGTTTACCCACTGAGAAAACCCACAGGTAAACCCACTGAGTTTACCTGCTGCTGTGCAGCCCTATCCACTCGAGTTTGTATACAGGTACTACCATGTACTTGCTACACAAGGCCTGTGCTGACTAGTAACCTTCCTTGCAATGAGTTCCAATCTTAGGGATAACAATAATTTAAGTTACTTGGCTAAGGTTCTGTGACCATAGGGCGCAGTGGTCACTTCTCAATTTGGCTAGTTCACAAAGGCTCCATCTAGGATAGGGAAAAGTTCTTCAGATTGCTGAGCAGCACACAGCCACTGCATCAAAGCAGTGCTTGGATTCAAAAAAGAAAATACTTCGGTTGCAGTGTAGATACAGAAATCAGTTTTGGTCCAAGTGGGTTCCAGATAATTGTTCTTAACCCTTGGTCTGTTCAAAGATCCAAACAGAAAAAGGGATCCTAGGCTAGAGCGACAGTGTCCTCTGGCCAGTCATTCATTTGTGCTACCTAGCAGTGACAGAAAGACTCAAACAGCAGGGAGAGGAAGTAAACATGAGCCTAAAGAGAGCAATTAGAAGGGAGCGTTCACTGTCAGAGCAGAGCACACGCAGACCCAACCAGTGCCCACGGGACAAGCACGGCTAAGTACTACGGAAACCAATTAAAACTTGCCCTGTAGGAGCGGAGACCCTATCTGGCAAAGACTGCAGATGCTAATTAGTGCTCTTAGAAAATTCTGTAACAAAAAACCTTCCCATGCTTTCTCTAGGAAAGGAAAATGAGCAAATATGTCTTTTAGATCACAATATGCTTTCGAAATTGAGTGGACTAGTAAAAACACCCACATGAAGAAATAAAATGTGCTGTAGTTGGAAAATACATCCTAGGTAGAGGACAACACCTGTAGCCTTACTGCCAGACAGAACCTCCCTTCCCCCTCCACTGTGGCTGTGTGCTAAGACCCGAGAGGCCACCAGGATGACCATCTTTAGCCAATTTAGAAAACAGGATATCTATCCAACGCTAACCTCCTACGGAGGTTAAACTCAATTGTTTTAGAATAATGGGAGCCAGAAATCAGCAACTACTATGCTAAAAGCAAAAATTGAGTGCTAAAGTCCACAAAGAAAACAAAAATCTCAGCACACCTCCCCTGGAGAAGGTCTAAGAAAGATATCTCTATTTTCAGTGAGTTTCCTGGACTTTTAGAGAATGTCTGGGATTAAATGTCACATTTTTAGGCCTGCAGGGCCAGTCAACCCTATCTGCTTCAGGGATGGCAGTATGGATGGCAGAATGGTAATAATCACCTGTCAAGACTCCAAAGCTTCACAGAACCATCAGCAGCACAGGAGGCCAGGTTGACATCTTTTTGGTCCAATGAGACAGTGGATTTGGGATGGAATACAATTGCTCCTACATTTGTGTTATGGCCTAAAAGAATACAGGAGATCAAGTTAAAGAGCTCTCACCTCTATGTAACCTATAAGCAAAGAAAGACTACTATGAACAACATGGAAAAGTACATCTCAGGGAACGTGAACACAGTATTAAAATGACTATTCAACTACTAAAAAAGAAAATTTATTTTTGAGACAGGGTCTCTCTGCAGTCCTGGCTAGTCTGGAACTTGCTATGAAGACCAAGCTGGCCTCAAATTTAAAAAGATCTACCTACCACTGCCTCCTGAGTGCTGGGATTAAAGTGTGTGCCACCATGCCCAGCAATTTATTTTTTTAAGATTTATTTTAAAATTATGTGTATGTACATGTGAGTGCAGGTGCCTGTGGAGGTCACTGGATGCCCTGGAGGCAGAACTACAGGGAGCTGTGAGCTACCTGTTATGGGTGCCGAGAAGTCAGCTCAGGGTCTTTCTAAGAGCACAACACATTGTTTTAGTCACTGAACAATTTCTCCAGCCCTTTCCCCCAAATTGTTTGAAAAAAAATCACTTTTTTTTAAGACAAAAAAAGATTAAAAAAAAAAAAAGGCAGAAACTGGCACAGTGGATCGTATCTGTTAACTCCAGCACTTGGGAGGCTGAGGCAGGAGGATATGAAATTGAAAGCTATACTGGGAAATAGAGTAAGACTCCATTTTCAAAGACTAAATAAACCAAATCAAAATAAATAAAACACAAACTCTTGTAGTCTTTTAGAGTGCATGACTGTGCAGTCATGATCCTCTAGTGCTGTGGAGAGAGAAAGAGATACACATGCAATGCATAGGCTGAAGGACGGCTCCTCAGTTAAAAGATCAGCTGCCTCACAAATGCCTAACTCCAGCTCCAGGGAATCAGGCACCTTCATCCGGTCTGCTGGCATTTATATATGTACACAGTGCATGAACATTCACAGAAGCAATGCTGTCTGAGTGTCAGCCCAAGTTTCATTGTTTAACCGTTTGTTGGGAAAACAATAAGAGCTCCCAACCAAGACTGTAACTCACCTCTAAGAGTGTGAAGGAGGCTGCAGTCAGGGACAGACCAGAGCTTGCAGAGCCCACTCCTATCAAACACAAAGGAAAGCATCTCAGCCAGGGTTGGTCTGGGAAGGAAAAGGCACCTTCATAATATCATTAAAGGACAACTTTGTCTTGAGCCTACACACTTGACAGAGGTCATCAGAGAACGCAAAAGGCTCACTGAAGAGCTACAGTAGCTCTCAGGCCTCTCTTAAAGAGACTATCATGAAATGCAAGCTGCTGTTTGTAATGTCGCAAGACAAAGGTAAGACTAGTAATTACATTCACCAATGGTATAGATAAGAGCACTGAGACTTCTACCTCACCGAGACCACAGAATGAAGAAAGAAAAGCTGGACTAAGCTCCAAACTACTTGGTCTAGAAAGTTCCCACATGAGCTACTCCAGAACACCAGCAGAAGAACACAGTAGACATTACGCGTCTCGGATCTCTGGGCCCCTTTATGACTAGTAAGAACGGCCACACAGAAGATGTCAAAGCGAATAAGCAGATAGAGCCGTGACAGCTGCTCACGAGGAGCCGAGGAAGAGGACAGAGGCAAAGAGAGCTGAGACAAAGATACTTTTTCTTCCTGAACCAATGCCCACTCTAGGAAACTGTACTGTAAAACCAAACTTACCAACAAGCTGTGGCTAGCATTTTAGAATTGGGGCTGAAGTGACAGTAGGAGATCGGCCGGTCATCTCCAATTTGACTGCAGAAATTATTCAAAGACTAAAAAGAAAACAAAACAAGGCGAGCATTAGAAAGCCAGTCTGAGAGTTCTCTGGCTTTTTCACTTTTGGAAAAAAAAAGGAGTGGGGGGAAGGTAGAGAGAGGAGGCGATGGTGGTAACGTTTCAGCTTAACCAATCCCAAGATTTCTTAAATGCTTGCTGCAGACAGAAGACACTAAAGTTGCTGAGAGAAAGAGACGAAGGCTTATCTAGAATGTCACTTGCTTACCACCGCCTCTCTAGCTTGTATGTCAGCTCAATACAGATAAAACAGAGAAAAGCAAAGCACAGCTTGAGCTATCAGAAGGGAGCCTCTGTGGACCCAGAATGCTCCTGTCACCATGGCTGATGGTGCCTCCCCCATCACAGATCCATCAGGTGGCATGTGGTAGCCGCCTTTACCCTCCTGTGGGTGGGCCAGAACAGAAGCTAATCATTGAAGAGACTGGACAACAGCGAAGAGCATCTTACCCGGAGAGACTTGTGCAGCTCCTGCATCTGGGAGGTCCTGGTTGTCTCGGGAATTTCTTTATGGAGACGGGCCTCTTCCAAGCGTTTCATTGCCCTGTGACCCATAAACACCGTCACTAAAGGAATATCAACAAGGGTCTGAACACTCTCTAATTCTCAATCCTACATAGTAAGTGCCACCAGCATAGAGTCTAGCCTCAGTCCCTGAAATGATGGAACTCATTCCTCTGGACCTCTGCTTACCTGGGGAGTGAATAATTAGCAATCCACAATCTGGCCACCTTCAGGCTATTTGGCCCTTCATGGTACCAGGTTTGCTGATACTGAGAAGGAAATAACAGAAGAAATGTTAGGTCTGAAAAATGCCTGCTCTGGCACCAGTTGTTCCCCTCTGTAAGGCTCACAAAGCAGGCGACTGGTTCCGTAACAGAATGTGCACATGAACGCAGGTCAGATTGCTCAGGAATGGGCATTGCTAAAGAGAACCGAACTTGACCCTTCCCAAAGAGCAGTGTGCACTCTTAAAGGTGGAACAACCTCTCCAGACTCCTAATTTTTTTCTATGACTTCTTATAGTTTCTGTTTTCTTTCTGGAGTTACACCAAGAGTGCCATAGCTCGTTCCAGAATGAAGAACTTCCAGCACCATCCCGTCACATAAAAATTACCAATTATTGCCATCGATTGGTCCCAAATAGCAGAGCCTGCAGACACATCTCCTCACCCTCACAAAGCAAAGCACTGGAAAGAATGTTCTTGAATTTCTCTACAGTTTACCTCTTCTTTTGACTTCTTAGATTTTTCATCATCTTTTTTGGTCTTTTTTAAGGCATCAGTCCCGACCACTGAGAGAATATTTCTTAACCTGTAACAAAAAAAGGTCAGAAATCACTATGGATGAGGCCCAGTGGGCCCCATCACCACTTGTGGGAGCGATGTATCAATATCCCTAAAAGCTTACAACCACAGGGTGCAATGAACCTTGGCCACACTGTGTTTGTTTCACAACTCATACATTCTTATGACAACGTTTAATTCATAAATTAGCAAGTAAAAGGTTAGTAGCAAAAAAACAAAATAGATTTTTATAATTACGTGAATGAGATCTGTTTTTCTTTCTTTCAAAAATATCTTATTCTAGTGTACACTAATAGGAAGGTAGCAAGGAAATAGCAGACGAAGGGGACAGACTAGATAGCGTGCAAGTTAACATTTACAGTGTTTGCTTCTGGCATGTTCCTAGTCAGTATTTTCCGGCCTCAGGTGACTATGGTGAGAGAAACAGGAAAAGGAAGCACAGGAGAAATGCTGTGCACCTTTGCTCTTTTGCCTCAGACTCCTCCAGTCTCCCTTAAGACTCAAGAGGACATGCTGAGCCTTTCCACAGTCTGTACCTGAAGGCTCCTTATGACCAGCCATCAGCAATTATTCTATTCCATTTAGAGTCAACTGGCAGCTGGGCTGTGGTGGCGCACACCTTTAATCCCAGCACTTGGGAGGCAGAGGCAGGCGGATTTCTGAGTTAGAGGCCAGCCTGGTCTACAGAGTGAGTTCCGGGACAGCCAGGATTATACAAGAAAGCCTGTCTCGAAAAAGACCAACCCCCCCACCCCCCAAAAAAAGTCAACTGGCCTATCCACTGTTGCCACTTACAGCTGGAATTCACTTAATGATGTGCAGGGAACTGATTCAAGGGCTAAGGATAATTAATGACTAACAACAGTTATAAAGGAACCAGGCTTGATGGCATACACTTTTAATCCCAGAACTTGGAGGCAGAGGCAGGTGGATCTCTCTGAGTTCAAGACCAGCCCGGTCTACAAGTGAGTTCCAGGCCACTAAAGGCTACACACTGAGACCCATTATGATAAGAATTACAAGTCAGGTGTGTTGGTGAGCTCCAGGCCAGCCAAGGCTATAGGGTGAGACCCTGTCTCAAAAGAGCAACAACAAAATTCAAACTAAAGGATAACTCTGAAGGAAGTACAGAAAGCAGTACATTACATCAATACTAGACAGCGGTGAACGGAATGTGAAGGGAATATGGAAGAAGTACAGAACCAAGGCTTGGGAGGAGGTGTGGGGTAGATATCAGGGAAGGCTTTTACAGAAAGGGTGTTGACAAGTGCTCATTCAGCCCAGAGTCAAAAATAGAAGTTGAGGCAGAGGATTAAAAAAATGTAAAGGCCAACAGTCATGAAAACAGGGTGAGCTTAGCCTGCAAACACTTCAGGAGAGCTGGAATATGGAATGCAGGAGAAGGGCTGGTGATGGCCAAAGCTGGAAAGTCAAGGGGCCCGGTCACCAGAGCCTTTACGCTATATAAAGAAGGGTCTGCAATGAGAATGATGTGGCAGCAGGCAAAAGAGGAAGAAAAGCATATAAAACTCGCCTTTACTGTTAAAGCAATCCCAAGTCACAATGGCGGCCCTGAGCTAAGGCAGCTGGGACTCAAGGCATTCACCTGAGGGACACAATAATAAAGTGTGATGGACTTGGCAGGCAAGAGGCAAACAGCAAATACACCCTGAGTCAGGCTGGTAGGATGGCTCAGCAGGCAAAGGGGCCTGCTGAGTTGAGATAGATCCCTGGGACACATGGTGAGAGAGAACCAACTCTCACAAGTTGTTCTCTGACCCCCGAACCTCTAGGAAGGCATATACACTCTACATACAAACATACAAATAAGGAACACACTCTACATACAAACATACAAATAAGGAACACACTCTACATACAAACATACGAATAAGGACCATGTAAAAATGGCATTGGCAGAGATAATGAGGGGCGCCCTCCACGGGGAAATAATGAAGGGCGCCCTCCACGGGGGAAATAATGAAGGGGCGCCCTCCACGGGGGAAATAATGAAGGGCGCCCTCCACGGGGGAAATAATGAAGGGCGCCCTCCACGGGGGAAATAATGAAGGGCGCCCTCCACGGGGGAAATAATGAAGGGGCGCCCTCCACGGGGGAAATAATGAAGGGGCGTCCTCCACGGGGGAAATAATGAAGGGCGCCCTCCACGGGGAAATAATGAAGGGCGCCCTCCACGGGGGAGGCTGCTGTGGACAAGTGGACTTACGCTCAAACAAAATAACTTGACTCTAAAAGCTAAGAGAGAAACAAAACAATGAAATATTCCTGTACCAGGGCCAGAAGAGATGGCTCAGAGGTTAAAGCTTACTTCTTGCTCTTTCAGAGGACCCAAGTTCAGTTCCCAGCAACCATATCAGGCAGTTCAATATTGCCTGTAACTCCAGCTCCATATTTAACACCCTCTTTTGGACTCCCAGGGTACACTAACTCACCTGTGCATGCTTCTACACAGATGTATTATGGATTTATATAATTAAAAATATATCTTAATAAAACAAAACAAAAAAATCACCTAGCACATCCAATAAACAACTTCACAGCGGAGTAGGAAAGGGCCTGATGGGAAGTTGGCACCGTCTTCACAACCCATAAACTACAAGAACCTCATTAACTTCAAAGAAAAATAATAAATAGAACTATTTATAAAGGACACCTTTCTCTTCGTTCAGCGGGGCCCTCTCCAAAAAGTGTGATAGGTTCTCCCAAGGCTCTAAGGCAAGCCTTGACCTCTGAGTCATCTGTGGAAACATTGATTTGCCGGGCTCGCTTTCTTCTTTCAAACTCTGCCAAGACTTCTGCCTGCCGCTCACTGATGTGCTCTTCAATTTCAAATACTTCTCCTGTGTAAAGAACAGGCAACATGGGGGAAGAAACAATTAGCCAATCAGAGTCTGTGTGTCCTAGAGTACAGCTTCTTAAACTGGATGGAGGGGCCACACAGTGTTCAGTGTGGGGCTCACAAAGACTCCAGCGATATTGAAGGGTTCCTGCTGGGCTGCACCATGAATCTTTGCTGCAGCTTTGGTTCCTAGCATGCACAATTCTGTAATGCACTTACTGTCTGCCATCATGCAACACTAAGGAACACCATCTCAAAGTGTCTCAGAGACCATACATGTGATGAATTGCAATGTCTTTACTGTATAAAATTTTTGCTCTTATAGAGACCTAATGGTTCAGTTATGAGGAAAAAATTTAATTTCCTCAGTATCAAGTATCAAATAGTTTTACCTTTGGATTATACTGTGTTAAAATGGTTGGTTATTTAAAATTGTTGTTTGGCCAAAATAGAAAAGATGAGGCGAAGCTCAGTGTGACAGAGTATGCCTGTAAATCCAGCACACAAGAGGAGGCACAAAGACCATGAGGTCAATGTCACACACCGTGAGACTGAGGCAGCCTGGGCCACACAGACCTGTCAGAAAGAAAGGACAGAAGGAAGGGCCAACAAGAATATTCACTATCTGAGTTGCTGATTAAAAAAAGAAAAAAAAAGTCATATGAAGATATTTGAAATGCCCTGACTTGCAATATTAAAATTTCAGCCAGCCGGGCAGTGGTGGCGCACACCTTTAATCCCAGCACTTGGGAGGCAGAGGCAGGTGGATTTCTGAGTTCGAGGCCAGCCTGGTCTACCGAGTGAGTTCCAGGACAGCCAGGGCTATACAGAGAAACCCTGTCTCGAGCCCCCACCCTCCCAAAAAAAATCAGCCAAAACTTAGTTCTCTATTAATAACATATATGTCCATCTTATTAACACTCAACTTTGCTTTGGTCTTTAAAAGTGGAAAAGTTGCAAGCATACATAGGAACTATATGCAATCTATGGTATTTTTTATAGTTTACCATTCCCAGCTTATTAAATGATGGCAAACACATAAACGCAAGGGATGCTTTAAACTGAGAGCGGGAGAGCCAGGCCACGTCTCCCATTTACTTCATTATCTCTTTCTATAGCTTAGAACATCTCTTATTTGGAAAGACCAACAGAAATGTTGCTTATCAATTGCTACCTGCTAAAATAGTACCCCTTGAAGAGCATTCACACACATTAGCCAGTGACATGAAATAACGGCCAGAAAAAACAGGATTCCTCTGACAACAAGGTAAGGCTTTTTGGATACTATGGTGACTAGCTTTATTTTTTTTTTCCTGAGACAGGGTTTCTCTGTGTAGCCCTGGCTGTCCTGGGACTCACTCTGTATACCAGGCTGGCCTCGAACTCAGAAATCCACCTGCCTCTGCCTCCCAAGTGCTGGGATTAAAGGTGTGCGCCACCACTGCCCAGGTGACTAGTTTAAAAACCCACAACAAACACTCACATTGGGAATGAAGACAGGCTTGAAGACACTTAAGAATAGTGTATGCATGTAGGGAAAAAGTGTGCGGATTTTTTTAAATGCTCATAATAACTTAGTTAAGTTAGGCAGGTAGTGGTGGCACAAGATTTTAATCCCAGCACTCTAGAAGACAGGGGCAGGTAAACCTCTGAGTTAAGGCCAGTCTGGCTACACAGAGAAACCTTGTCTTGAAAAACTGAAACAAAAATGAAAACACAAACAAACAAACAAAAAAACCTAGAAAAGTAAAGGAGAGAATTCTATAAACAGTTACACATTGATGCCAGAACTAGGTTACATCTCCCAAAGACAAATACACCTGATGAACCCAAACATCCACTGAAGAAGAAGTCTACAGAGATAATGAGTAATTCATGCAAGGAACTGTATAAAATATAAGAAAAACACAGGTTCTGGGGCTCAATCTCAGGTCCTAATGGTTGCACAAAAAAGCTTCTGGCACCCAAACTAGCTCCCTAGACCAACAGAAGGTTTTGACTCTATAAACTTAGTATTACGTGGTTTGGGAAGGTGTTCATTAGACTATTGAATCATTAAAGGTGCATGGTAGCTATACCTGATTCTAGTACAAGGGAGGAGGCAGGAGGAGTGCAAGGTCAAAGGCTGGAGGAAGGATGGGTATGTGGTTCAGTGGTAGAACAGTTGCCTAGCATGCAAAAAACTCTGGGTTGGATTCCCAGCACTGTTTAAAAAAAGGGGGTGGTGGTATGATTTGCAATTTGCGTCTTACCGGACGTTATGTTAATATTTCCTGCTTCAATGCCAGCTTTGAGTCCTTCTTTTCCCAAAATCCCGGACTCTCCTTTGGCCAGGCGTTCCCGCTCTTTTTCTTCCAAGCTTCCATAATAGATGTGTGGTTTCTTCACAACAGGTGCAACTAAATCGTCAGGTGCTTTAGTTTTGGTTGTCTGTTAAATCAAAGACCCGGATGAAGGTTTGGTTCTAGCAAACCATGCTTCCCAAAATAAATAAACAAAGCTAACGCTGAGCTTTCATTTTATTTACTTTCAAAACTAGAGGATAAAGTCGAAACTGACTTTGTGCGAGTTTAGGCTCTCGATAAGTTTGGCACACAAATACAACTAATCAATTTTTGTCTAATGTGTCTTGGTTTGTTTGGGGCCCGTTTATCTATTGGAAATGCAATCTCTGGTTTTACGAAAATAACATCTCACCACTGGGCAGATACAAAGAACAACCTAAACAATTAGGGCGGTTTTAGGTGCACCAAGGCACAATGTTACTGGAATACACATTTCAAATACTTTCAGAGCCTATTAGAAGTTGGGAGGCCTCACCATAGTAAGTACGAGTCGTACAGCTCAAGTCAAGACACAACTCAATTTCAAAGCACTGTGTTTTGGAGCAGTCAGAAAAAGTGTTCACTGCTCAGGGCTTAAGTAAGAGCAGTGCAAAAAGAGCTGCAACACACGAAGGCGTTTAGAAATCAGGAAAAGGGTGCTAAGGTCCACACCACGGTCCCTCAGCCTTCCTTCCTCCTCCTCCTCCGCCCTGACCCGTAAGATAACGGCCCTTTCCCACGGGGATCCCGCCCTCTCTGGGAGAGGTAGGCCTGAGCTGCGATCCGGAGCTCCGTACCGTGGAGGAGGCTCGTGAGGAGGCCATGCCGGGCTTCGGAGCCGCGAGGCCCCAGCCAAATCCGCGTTCTGCTTTTCAGACCGGGAACCGCGCGCCTAGCAAAGTGGAAGTGCGTCACTGGCCGGAAACGTATCAGGAACAGACTCAGTCCTCTAGGAGCCGCGAAGTATCTTGGGAGTGGTAGTTGCCAAGTGTCGGCTGGCATCGAGGGGCGTGGCCTTTCAGAGCTCCGGGCACAACCTTGCGGGAGAAGAGGCGCATGGGAAAAGAGGCCCAGAGTAGCCTGGGAAGTGTAGTTCGGTCTGCGCAGCAATGGCGTCATGGTGGGAGTTGAGGTTCTGGGAAGCTGCAGAGGCCTGAAAAGAGGTAGGTTTGCGGATCGCAGTTGTAATCTGGAACAAACCGAAGGTCTCTGCTCTCTTTCCGGAGGCCTTCCGCCATTTCGAAGCCGAGGCCTGTGTTGCCATGTAAATCTCTTCCTAGACTTCTGCAGCCTTGGAGCTGGGAAAGAGGATTGTTGTCCACGACAGAAGTCCTCTGGGGGCCTCTGGTAACTCGGTGGCTACGTAGTCAATTTGGCCTTCAAGAAGACATTAAACTATAAGAGCCTTCTAAGTCTAAAATAGAGATGTGGAGCAGCTGCGGCCTAGTTTGTTGTTGGTTTACTTGTCTACAGCCGATTCTTTGTATGTGTTCTTTGAAATAAAGGGTCCAGGGAGGCGCCAGATAAAGTGCATACCAGCAGCTGTAGCGCCAATGATTCCTAGGCCATTAGAAATAAGCTTTTTTTTTAATCCTTACATGAAAGTTGGGATTGTAAAAATATTCGCGTTTGCCTAGCTAAACACTCACTTCCGCTCTCAAGCCCCTTTCCCAAAAGACTCCAATTAGAAGAGCACTTCCTCTTCGAGGACTTACTAAATGCCAAGTCACGCGCAAGGAGCTTATTCTATTTTAGTTATTTAAGTCGTGGGACGACAAGAGTACAAACCAGAAACTAAAATTCTGCTGAGAAAAGGTACTCCGTCGTACTGGAGCCATAGTGTAGTAAGTAGGATTAGTAATGTGACGGGTGGCCGAGCTTTTAACCCGTACTCAAGATTGCTCTCTAGTGGTGAGGCTTTCAGTTCGTTCTCAAGTAGGGAACTTTTTTCCCCCCTAAGTATTTCTTCCTTTTTCCTTTGGCGCTGGCTTCCATTTCTCTGCTTAGGGATCTGGTAGAAGGTAGTATCTGATAAAATAAAGCAGTGTTTTATGTTGATTATATCACCCCTTGCTGTGCTAAGCCTCCTGAGAGAAGTGTAAATGTTTCATATACACTGTAGTGTTTTGTTTCATTTTGGATGCATGCAATAATAATTTATATGAATGCACACTATAGCAGAACTTTCATGTAGATCATTACCATTTAGCTCTTTATTCTAGTGGTCTACATGTAACTTTTTTGGTTTTTTCGAGACAGGGTTTCTCTGTATAGTTCTGGCTGTCCCGGAACTCACTCTGTAGACCAGGCTAGCCTCGAACTCAGAAATCCGCCTGCCTCTGCCTCCCAAGTGCTGGGATTAAAGGCATGCACCACCACCGCCCGGCTCTACGTGTAACTTTTATAGGAGGATGATTTTGTTTTGTTTTGTTTTTTTGTTTTGTTTTTCAAGACAAGGTTTCTCTGTGTAGCCCTGGCTGTCCTGGAACACGTTCTGTAGACCAGGCTGATCTCAAACTTACAGAGCTCCTCCTGCCTCTGCCTTCAGAGTTCTGGGATTAAAGGTGTGTGCCACTACCACCCGGCTTCTGATACTGTTAACTAAACTGTTTGTTTCAACTTTATAAAACTGAAATAATTTTTCAAGCTTCCCAAGGCTTCTGTATTAAAATAATATAAAGAATGGGAACGTGAGGTGGTTCAGTGGGTAAAGGAGCCTGTGCTAAGATGTCCCACATGATAGAAGGAGAGAACTGAAGCCCAGATGTTGTCCTCTGACCTCCGCTTGTAAACTGTGTGCTTTCACCAACACCAAATAAATAAATAAATAAATGAATAAATAAATTTTAGTTACTAAAGTGAAAACAAACAAACAAACCCAATAATGGAATTGTCTGGAACTTAAGAAAAGTTAGTGTAGGGTTGTGGGTCTCAAGTCCGCTCTGCCACAGGGCTCGGAAGCTTGGGGAGGCAGGACGCAGGGAGTCTGACTGTGCTTACCCCATGCCAGCTCCAGGTGCTGGGCTAGGGACATCGCGGGTGGGAAAGCACAGTCTGAGGCATAGGACAGCTGGAGCTGATTTGAGGGTCTGTCTGCCTGTGACGAGGCTGGGCCGTCTGGTTCTCAGGCTGGATATCCAGGCCCCGCTGGGAGCCTCAAAGAGCTGAGAACGGAGTCGGAGGGGGTGGGGGTGGGGCTGGATGTATATGGGTGGGTTGGAGGGAAGGGACCAGCTCCTGCTCAGCTATCTCCCTAACTTCTTTGCTCCTTTTGTTTCTTGTCTGTTTTTGTTTTGTTTGGTTTTTGAGACAGGATCTCCCTATGTTTTCTTTGGCTGGTCTCCAACTTCCGGGGTCAAGCCACCCCAAGAAGTTGTGACTGTTGTCATGTGTCACTGCCCTCAGCTCGTTTCTTTTACCTAGTGTGTGTCTTTCGGAGGTTATTGGAACACAAAATTAAGGTGATGGTTGGGTGTCTTGCTTGGGAGCGCACACCTGGAGGGGTCTTGGGACCTGAGATTGGGGGCCCAAGCTTGGTTTCTGACCTAAGAACTCTGGACAGAGAATAGTTTCTGTGCTGCTTTATCAGTGGTGTCCTCCAGGTTTTGAATAAACTATCTCAAAAAGTGTTAAAAATAAAAAATAAAAAAAGAATTGCCTAGATTCTCTGATAGTAACTTGCTAGACTTTGTTTTTAAAGATTTTATTTTAAATTTTGTGTATATAAGGGCTGGAGAGATGGCTCAGCAGTTAAGAGCACTGACTGCTTTTCCAGAGTCCTGAGTTCAATTCCCAGCAACCACATGGTAGCTCACAAACCATCTGTAATGGGATCTGATGCCCTCTTCTGGTGTGTCTGAAGATAGCGGCAGTGTACTCACATATATAAAATAAATAAATAAATAAATCTTAAAACTTTTTTTTTTTTTTGCCGGGCAGTGGTGGCGCAAGCCTTTATTCCCAGCACTTGGGGGGCAGAGGCAGGTGGATTTCTGAGTTCGAGGCCAGCCTGGTTTACAGTGTGAGTTCTAGGACAGCCAGGGCTATATAGAGAAACCCCGTCTTGAAAAGCCAAAAAAAAAAAAAAATGTATATATAGGTATATTAGTGCAGGTAGCCAAGGAGGAATAGGCATCTGCTCCCCTGAAATTGGAGTTACAGACAGTGATAAGTTGGGAATTGAACCTGTGTCCTCTGTATATGCTTAGAATATGCTCTGATACAAAGAGCTGTCTCGCCGGGTGGTGGTGGCACATGCCTTTAATCCCAGCACTTGGGAGGCAGAGGCAGGGGATTTCTGAGTTCGAGGCTAGCCTGGTCTACAGAGTGAGTTCCAGGACAGCCAGAGCTACATAGAGAAACCCTGTCTCGAAAAACAAAAAAACAAAAAACAAACAAAAAACAAACAAACAAAAAACAAAGAGCCGTCTCTTTACTCCAGCAATGAGAGGATGCCTCTAGATTTTGAAGTCTGCATGGAATCTGAATGAGTTGATGTCCTGTCCATTTTATTGTTCATGTTTACAGATTCATCTGTTTGCAGCTGAGACTTAGCACCCGCAGCTTTTCCTCTCCTGCCATTTTAACAGCCTATAGCTCGCTGGGCCTGGCTCCTCTCAAGTCCTGGTTGACTTCAATATGCTGCGACGAAAACCGACCCGCCTGGAGCTCAAGCTCGACGACATTGAGGAGTTTGAGAGTATTCGAAAGGACCTGGAGGTGAGGATTGGGTTTCTGCTTCTTAGGGGCTATTTCAGACAGTGATTGCCTTCTGAAGCTCAGACTCTACAGCAGCTTGTTTAAAATCTATGTGGCTGCTTTACAGACATCTCAAGACAAAAGTGAATTTCCTGTGACTGTCACAGCAAAGATCTAAGGACTTAGTGGCCTGAAACAACAGAAAATGATCCTTTTACAGTTACTTAAAAAAAATAGTACTATTTTATTTATTAACTTTTTTCATGTATTTTGATCATGTTGCCCCATCCCCAGTTCCTCCCAGGACCTCCTTACCCACCCAACGTTATGTTCTTTCCCTTCCTCTTAAAAACAATACAAAAACAAACCCCCAAAACAAAGAAACACCGAAGTCCACAAAAGTACCATTGAGTTCATTTTTGTATTGGCCAGCTACTGGCTATGGAGCCCGCTCAGGAGTGTGGTTAATATATCCAGTGGCATGAGAGATGTTGGAGAAGATTGTTTTTCCTTTTGACAACACCGTCAGTTGCAGATAGCTTCTTGGTTAGGGGTGGGTGAGACCCTGTTTGGCTTGAACTTCTGCAGGTTTTGATTGTGCTACAATCAAAGGCTTGATTTTCATAGTCTCTGTGAGTTCATATGTGCGTCAGTCCTATTGTGTGGATGACGCTGTTTCCTTGGGGGTCATCTCTCATCTCTGGGTCTCACAATCTTTCTGCCTCCTCTTCCACATAGATCCCTGAGCTGTGAGGGCAGGAGTCTGATGAAGACATTCCAGTTAGGACAGGGTTCTCCAAAGTCTTCCATAATCTACACATTGTCCATTTGTGGGTCTCTGTGTTCATTCCCATCTTGTGCAAGAAGAAACTCCTCTAATGGGGCTGAGAAAGACACTGATTTGTGGCTATGGCAATGTAGTATCATTTTATTGCTCTGATCCTTTAGCGGAATTGTCTTAGGTTTCCCCTCGGCCGGTGGCCCATCTAGTTTCAGGTTTGGGCATGCTAGGCAAACATTCTACCAACTGAGCAACATTTATTATTAGCATTGTTTATTATTAGCATTGTTAGCACTTATTGTAACTTGAAGTTACCATTATTTTTCCCCTTAATGCTGGAGATCAGTGTAGGACCTTGTGTATGTTAGACAGAAACTTACTGAACATTCACCTGTAAATGGTATTTTTAAATGTTACTTAATTATTCTTAGTTATTAATATGATCTGGCCAGCCCCCAATAACAGAGCCAGAGTCTTGTATAATCAGCTTTAGCACAGTTACTAGGCAAACTACTCTTAATCTTTTTTTCTGTATTCTAGACTGTTACTCTTATCTGTGCTTCCCAAGTACTTGCTGTGTGAGTCTCCTCTGGGCTATTTCTGCTCCATCAGCCTGCCCTGGGGCATTTCACTCGTCCGTCCGTGTGCTCCTGGTCCATCACGTCTAATGGAGACCTCCTGGTCTCTCTGTCTTTTTTCTCCTCCTCCTCTCTTATTTTCCCTTCTCCTTCAACTGCTTCCTCTCTTCTTCTCTCCTTGTGGTCCTTACCTGTGACCCCCAGCCCAGTAACCTAAACCCCAGCTATTTTTATTCTCCCCAGTAATTGGCTGTAGTCACTTTTATTTAACCAATAGTTTTAAATTGGGGAGCAAGGTTTATACAACATCATTTGGTATACATGAGGATCTTTGGGGACAACCAGATCTGGGGTGGGGGGAACTATTTAGCATTTGAATACATAGCAGACAACCCCAACATTCACCTGTTCCTTGCAATCATTTGGTCGCTTATTGTAAAATCTTTTATATTAGGAACTTTGATTACACAAATCATATCCATGTTCTTTACCACTGAATTTCTAGAATCTAGCCTGCAGTGGAGTACTATTTATATTTTTTGTTTGAGACAGGATCTCACTGTCTGGAACTCATTATGTAGCCCAGGCTGGCCTTGAACTTGAACATTTGCCTCTGCTTCCCGAGTGGTGGAGTTACAGGCATATGGTACCACACCTTGCAGCTGTATTTTTTCTAAATCTGGCTTTGCCATATAACATTAGATATCCATTAATAAGAATAATTTCTTTGGAGGCAGAGGTAGACAGATCTCTGTAAGTTTGAGGCCAGCATGGTCTATAGAGCAAGTTCTAGGACAGCCAGGGCCATTACACAGAGAAAACCAACAACAACAAAAAAAAAGATTCTTTCACATCTTCAAGATGAAGTCCAAATTCCTAAGCACGGTACATGAGGTCCTTTATGACTGGGTCCTTGTTCGTCTCTCTCCTTTATCTCCCAGATTGTCTTTAATCTCAGTGCTAGTACTGTTCCTTTGCCTGACACACTCTATCCCTTCATAAAGTCAGTCTGGACTCTGCACTGTTGCCACCACAGGAGGAAGATGGGTCGTGAATCAGAGGAACCAAGCCTTGCTTGGTGGAACTTTGACCCAAGCTTTGAAGATACAGATGAGAGCTTAAGAGGACGTTAAGAGAAGTGGAAACACTCACAAATCATCTGCTCTTGAGAAAGCCCCAAACAAAACGTTTATGGCCTTGTCCAGATGTCAGTGTTTGCTTATCCACACCAGGTTGGTTGATAGGCAGAGTAGAACCAAAGAGCCCTTTCTGGAGATGATTCTGGATGCACTGTGCACATCAGTGGTGGAGAAGATTTTTGTTGGTGATAGTAACAAATATTCAGAGGCATGTACTTTAAGAGACTGCTTTGAACTGTATGGCAAGATTGAAAGCAGTAGTTGTAAAAATGGTGGGAGAGGATTTGGCTTATATCTTGTGCCAGTTGATTCAGAAATAACTCTGAATAACTCTGTTCACTGGCATCATTTTGACATGGAAAAGGCCCTTTTTGAACAAGATGTGCTTCACTGGATACCAAGGAGGCCGTGGGGATGGATCTGGTGACCTTTCTAGGTTGTGAAGGAAACTTTGGATGTACTGGAGTAACTTTAGAAGACGAGGCTACAGTGGCGGAGGTGGTGGCAGCAGAGGTAGTCATGGAGCAGGCTACGGTGGCTGTATAGATTGTAAACAGTATCAGAATGTGGAACCTAAGGTAGATTCAGTACTAGTTGAATACATGGTGACTCCAGTGAAGGGAATTTGGCACTGGTATAATTACAGTGGTGGTGAGAACTGTCACGACCTTGGAAATCGGTTAGATCATACACCCAGGGAATAAACAGTTGTAGTGACAGAAACCCAGGCAGGTGGTAGTGGAGATATAGCATAATTCTTCTTCTTCTTCTTTTTTTTTTTTTTTAAAAAAAGATGAGGTTTTACTGTGTATCCCAGGCTGGCCTTGAACGTGTAATAGTCAATAGTCTATTGACTATTACAATAGCAAGGGTTCTGTTTTTTTTTTTTTTTTTTTTTTTTGACATAGGGTTTCTCTGTGTAGCTTTGGCATTCCTGGAATTCACCCTGTAGAGCAGGCTGTCCTCCATCGTAGAGATCTCCCTGCCTCTACCTCCCTAGCGCTGAGATTAAAGGCCTGCACCGCCATGCCTGGCAAGTAGCAGAGTTCTAAACAGAGCAGAAAAGGGCTTCCATTCTTAGGAAAGAGAGTTGTTAGGATAGCTATAGGGTTACTTAGGGACAGTCCAGCCAAATGCCTTAAAGAAAGTCTAGGATATAAGCCACAGGAGTAACACCCTAACAGGAAGGTTTCTGCAGTGTAAGCAGGAAGCCCTTCTTTAGGAGGTCCTTAGCCACAAGTTGCAACTGTTGACACAATGTGGTGCTGGCTGGATTGTCATCAAGGTCATCTGTCTATTGCAGATTTTTTTCTTTCTTGTTTTGTTTGAAGCAGGGTTTTCTGTGTAGCCCTGACTGTCCTGGGACTCACTTTATAGACCGCTGGCCTAAAACTCAAGAGATCCACCTGCCTCTGCCTCCTGAGTACTGGGATTAAAGGGGTGTGTCACCACCTCCTGGCTGTAGATTTTCTTTTCATTACATCAGATTTATTACTCGGTGAATAGCAGTACTAGTACTAAGAGGAAAGTTTTCAAAAAAAAATTCAAAACAAACCCCAAATCAAAACAGAGACTGGGATATAGTACAGTGGTCAATTCCTTGTCTAATATTCATGAGGCCTTCTAGCATCTCCAAGAGAGATAATTAATTTATGAAATTTAAAAGCCAGAAGGAAGCCCCTCTACTCTGACCTATTGACAAGATAGCATAATGTCTCCTTGAGTTTCTGTAATCAACATGGAGCCAGTCCGGCTGTGGGTTTTTAGTGGGTGCTAGTCATGCCATCTTTCACTTGTTCTCATTGATAGTAATTTGCTGAAACACCTTTTGTTGCTCTATGCTGGGCCTTTATATCACACTCTAATTCCTCACACCCCCTTTGTGTTTTTGGCATTGTGGGCTTTCCCATTATAATCCAGAGTACTCTATGCTATAATTAATAGTCTACATCTCCGCTTGCCTTCTAGACTGTGACATCCTGGGATGTAGGGTTCTATCATCCACGGTTGCACGCCCTTATCTGTTACTATCCTAAACTTGGGATTATTAGCTTATTGTTTATTAGCCCAAACCTTGTTCCATACCCAGTACCTAGTATATGGTAAATTCTAGCTAAACATTTGTTAATTGAAAGAATGTTGTATTATATCTTTTTTTTTTTTTTTAATACTTGCAGGCCCGTAAGAAACAGAAGGAAGATGTGGAGGGTGTAGGAACCAGTGATGGAGAAGGAGCTGCTGGGCTCAGCAGTGACCCCAAGAGCCGGGAACAAATGATTAATGATAGAATTGGTTATAAACCCCAACTCAAGACCAACAACCGCACATCTCAGTTTGGAAACTTTGAATTTTAGAGATGGATTCTCTTGCATGCCAGACCCCTGGGACAGAATACAATGATGACAGAAGTACAAACCAGATTTAGAAAATTAAGTGTGTGCAACCAAGCAGAATGTTTTCAGTCTCCTGCAGGGAGAGATAACTTCTGTGTGAAATTATTGCTGTCCAACCTTTCTGATAGGAAGCCAAATTCTGGCTTGTTCCTAGAGAATTGGACTGCAGAAAGCTCACCTGATTTTTGTTTTTAAAAATAAATATATTTTTGGAAAAAATGTGAGACGTCCTTAAAGGTAGTAACACTGCTAATCTCCAGCTCTGACAGGTAACTGCTACAAATCATTCTCCTTGTCTTTACAAAAAGACCCCAGACCCTGAACACTTGCATTTGATCCCCTGGACTTTGACTTGTTTATTCAGTATCTGGTGACTGCTGACCATCCTGCAAGCAACAGAGATCCCAGATGACTGCACTCAGGCTGCAATCCAGCATCTGGGAGGCTGAAGTAGGAATCTTAAAGAGTTGGAGGCTAGTCTGGGCTACAGAGCAAAACCCTGTCTCAAAAATGTCAAAAAAAAAAAAAAAAAAAAAAACAAACGAAACCAAGACAAAGATCTCTGTTCTCATGGAGACTAGATTCTAATGATCAGATTGTCAGAATCAAATCCACTTACAGAAAGGTTTTACACAAGTGGGGGAGTCACGAGCCGCTCTAATAGTGAGAGAAAGAGAGAGACTCTATTCTTCACTTGGAACTTCACTTGCACAGGACCCATCTGAGCGCTACTCTGGATACTTTTGCACCATGCCCTATTGTTACCAAAAAATTCAGGGACAGAACCACCAGCTGTGGAAGCCAGAACATCTGGAATTAAGTTTCAAAGAAACTCCTTAGCTGGGATTTACCCATGATTTTGGATAGTTCCTGAGTGATGTGAATGGGAAGGTAGAGACAGAGGGGATGTATACGTCCCTCTTCCTGCTCCAAGCTTTTCTACAAAACCTTTATTCTAGTTTTATTGATGACCCCTAAGTCATGTTATCTTCCTGTCTTAGAGAACAATAAAACCCCCAAGACACAGGCTGTACATAGACTCTTATTATTGCAGCCTGCAAAGGCATTACAGGGGGCAAAGAAAAGGAAGAAAAGGACCTGCCTGCTTACTGCAACTCCCCAGTAGGATTTCTCACAGTTGTTTTTATGCCTCCTGCATGGCTTGCCTTTTATACTTATAGCTGTCCTGCAGAGGGCTGTGTTAGAGTGCTGAGTGATTCGTGCAGATTCTCTTAGTTCCTGAGGGCACGCCATTCTGAATTTGCAGAAGTGAACCAGAGCGCAGCCATGAAGTGGTAGGTACTGGGCAGTCTGCTTTCCAAGCCCAGGCTTCCAAAAAAGCAATAGCCTCAACTACATTGCTTTCTTAGTGTTCTGAGCTGAGTCTTCAAGAAAGCAGTGTGTCATGGAGAGAGAATTTTCTATTTTTCAGTTTCCAAGAATTTCTGTGCTCTCTTATTAACAGAATAAGTAGACCAGGACTTATTGTAATTGCTAATCTTTTCTGGGCATACTTAAATTATATGGATAAACTCTGTGTTCCTTAGGATCTGTTTGTTTCTGGATTACCAACACTGACCTTCTGACCTTATTCAGGAAGAGTGACCTTTCATTTTCCTGAAGCCTTCAGGTATAATATAATCAATACATAGTAAAAATGTAGTAAGGCTTGGATGCTTGTGTGGGATATCTGTATTGTGTGTCTTGTGTGTATTGCTCTTAAATAGGTGCCAGTACTCCTTTGTGTGTATGCACATGCAGGGCATGCTAGGGATTGAAAGAGCTTAGAAAGGCCCACCATGTAAGCTCTCAACCAACTGAGCTACACCCATAGCCATTTGTTTTTGCAACAGGGTCTCTCACGGTGTTAGGATCCCAGGCCCATCTGCAATTCTGCCCATCTGCAGCCCTCTCTATCTCCATCTTCATAGCTGGTTCTGAGATCCCTGCTGCTACAGGGAGACAGACAAGCTGTGGAGTATCTGTAAACACAGTACCCAGGTGCCAGGATTACACTTCAGTTTCTTAGACTTACAGACCAGGTTGCTAGACTCTAGGACAGTAGAGGGCCTCTGGTGGGGCACATCTGCCACCTGTATGTACCCCTCCTCTTTATTTCCCTTATACCCTGAGTGGCACATTCCTTTAGAATTCCCTCCCTTCTTGCTACAAAGAATCAGAGATAAACTGACTGCTGTTAGGGTCTGAGCTCTCAGAGCCTCCCATGCTGCTATCTGTATTTTTATGGTATTAATTAACTACTGGCCCAAAAGGAAAATTCACCCTTGTCCCCTTAGACCCCCAAACTGAAGACATTTCACTAAGTAGTCTAGGTCTTTCCTCATGATCTTCCTGCCTCAACTTGCCAAACACTGGAAGGACAGTCATGTGTCGCCACACTTGACTCTCAACTGCCCTTTTATAAATGAGAACACTAAGGCTTTGAGATGCTTAGGATAGCTGTTCCTAAGTGGTACAGCCCAGATTTGAGCCTGCTGTTCCCAAAAGTGATGCTTATCACAGCATGGTGAAAGACTGCAGGAGTGGTGATGATGGGCCAGCAGGAAGACCCATAGCAGCAATACTTCCCCTCCACTACAGGGATAGGCAGAGTCTGGCAGTGAGCTTCCTGGTAGCCCAGTGCTCCTGCCTACATGAATACAGGGATTATGAATTATGGATGAAAGGAGGCAAAGGTTAGCTTTTGAACTCCTATACTGAAATATTTGCCGCTTCCTGAAGACCCATGTGCTATACACAAGGTCATGCTGACCTGGCAGGCACTATATCAGCGTGTTACGAAGAGTGAGAGGAGAGCAATGAGGCCATGCCATCGAGGATACTGACGTCCTAGAACCAGCTTATTTGGACACTACTTTGTGTAGACAGACATGCATAGAATCACAAAAATCAAAGTATTTATTTTGTTTTCTTGCACACAACACTTAAAACATTCCCATTACAGCACTCCTGCTCTTCGAGAGCTTACAGTCTCTGAAACAGTCAACGTGAATGTAGACCCAGGAATTAAGGCATTACATCAAATGCAGACCTGTCATTTGGAGGCATCTTCTGAAGTAGCTGGAAAGGGCAGGCTCAAGATTAAATGACATGATGTACAAACCCAAGCCCATGGCCTGAAGGGGACTCTGGGACAACCCTACCATAGGAGTAGTGAAGAAACTTTCTGATGGATGCTGAGGAGGTTCCTTATGTGGGCAGTGGGGTGTTGAGTATTCTTTCATCTTGGACTGCAGTTAGTACCTAGGATCTGTAACTCTGAGGACGTTAATCCTTTACCCAGCTTTATAGAAATTTCAGTGGTCCATCTGCTTCTTGAAGCAAACTTAAGACCTCTATCTGCTTTGTAAATACAAAATTCTAATTATTATGAAATAATAACCACAGAAATAGCAATGCCTACTGCATCAGGAAGGTGAGAGAGATGTTAAACACTAAGTTACCTGGGATAAAAGAAAGGGAAAAGTAGGGCAGGGGCTAAAGAAACTCAGCTCTAGCCTTCCCACAGAAGGAGACAGATAAACACAAAGGCTGGCCATTAAAGTTCAAGAGGATTCTGCACTAACCACATTCTCTAGCAACCTCGTTGAGGGATCTCAAGTTTAGGATTTGCAGTAGACTATTTCTAATCTGAGGCCACCCTGAATAACCACGTTAAAGTGAGGTTTCTCTTGGTTTCAGATTCATAGCACCTTGTCCTTACAGGCCTCGGTTCCTCTCACCTCAATGATAAGGTCCGTTTCTGATAGTTTATGCTTTATTTTTAGGGTGTTAGGGCTTAAACACAGGGCCTGACACATGCTAGGTAAGTGATCCACGTGGAGCTGCCTCTCAGCCTTGGAAGGTGTTTTATACCAGCTCATCTGGAGAGTTCTAGAGAGCACCAGGGTCAGCACTAAGTGTGTTTTTTGTATACCCCTGGGTTTATTATTCCTTGGCTTCTGAGATGACAGCAGGCTATTTGCACCTTAATGTTGGGCTCTGTCAGTACCTGTCATTCACATTTGGTGCTAAAAACTAGCACAGCAGGATGAACTAGAAGACAAGCAAAGCTCTAAAGGTGATTTCTAAGATTTTTAGCTTCCACTTAGTAGGCTTGGTTCAAAGCCACCAAAGTACACATTCCTGGTTCTCCAATATTTAATTGGCACGCACAGAGAAAGTACAAATTTAAAACAGCAACACTGGACCAACAAGACAGTAGGTTTGTTTCTTCTGCTCTGAGGCACAACTGGATCTAGCACCAAAAAGGGCAGGATTTAACAGACCAGCATAGGAAGAATCACTTTAAAGAGGTAGTTTGGGAACAAGCCTGCATGTTGATTAATAATTGACAGAACACCCAATGAGATTCTTTGTTGAGAAAAGGGGTTTTGGCCACTGTGATCTAAGTAAATCCCCATAAATAATAAAGATGGTCAAGTAGTGGATGGGGACCTACACAGTGTACACTGAGAACAGTCTAGCTATTGGCGTGTCTCTCCAAACAAGAAAGCTTGGTTTTTGCCTTTTGACTGGCTGACTCACAGCAGATCAAAGGTCTCTTGGCCTTCAGATAACTTCCAAGGAACCTTAGATCTTTAAAAGTCAGGACTAGAGACTTCATATATGCTGATGGTGTACTTTGGCCGCAATCCCACACATTGTATGTGGGTACACATAAAGCATGTTTGGAGGTGAATAAATGTTTGTGGAATGATTAAGTGTTGACCAGCAGCATTTAGATGTAACGTGCCCAAGGCATACCACCTACTAACCAGCAGATCAGATGTTCAAGCCTGATACCAGGTAGCCCCACCCTTTGTCCCTTCTAGGTTCAACTTTGCTAGTTTAATGCAGAGACTCTTAAGGTAATCCTCTGGACTGTCAGTAGAAACATCACCTAGGAACTTAGAAATGCCAAATTTGGTGGCTCTGGGGTTGAGGTCCACCAAGTAGTGTCTTAGCAAGCCCTCTGGGTGATTCTGAAGCACTGTAAAGTTTTAAAATATTGGTTTTGAGGAACACATACAAAAACAATACAAACTCTTGTTCAGTTGGGACAAGCCAAGGTACTGAGTCAAAGTAAAATACTAATGGTTTTATTTAACAATATCTATTTTTGTTGTCTTAAATTGATTGTCCTGTTTTTGTTTTGATTGGCAAGTTCATTCTAATCAAATGTTAAGTAGGAACACAAGTTGATGATAGCGCGAATACAGACTCAGACTCCCCACTCTCCACACGTGTCTACACAGTTTCAGTGTAACACATCATGCCTGGAGAGAGGCACACGTGTTCCCACTCACTGAGTAAAGACTGGGGCTTATTTTCTAGTGTGGAATTTAAGTCCTGGTTGGATGAGATGTCCCTAAATGCCATCAATCCTGTTTAAGTTACAATCCTTTTCCATCACTGACCCAGAACCCCACCTACCAAATACACATATTATCTGTTTAAAACAAAATATACCCCCCTGCCCTCCCCCCCCAAAAAAAAAACCCCAGAAAAGTAAAAAGAAGCAGATAACCAAGTCATTATTAACTAGGAAGCTACCTGGATTAGATAAGGCTCAGGATGATGAGGGAGAAGACATCTCACTGGTGACTTCTCAAGAGAAAAGTCAATTTCATCTTATTAGAAAAACCACTACTCGGAGACTGTCGGCTAGGCTTCTATTCAGTAGGTGTTTGTGTATAAAGAGAAGAGAGAAGGGATGATTGGAAAAGGAATCATATCTTCCAGTCCCAAGATGCTTCCTACAGCAACTAATAAGGCCATATGTGGAGTCTGATGTTAATGACAGTGCTCTGTGATGTCCACCACCACTGCCTTCTTCCAGCTGAAGAGGAAGTATCCTGTCCCAGCCCCTGCTGCTACTGCAATGCATAGGTACCCATTGTAGGTCATGAAGATGAGCATGAGGAAGTAGCTGATGACTACCTGGATGACGTGCAGCACGGTCTGCAGGAGGTGGGGGAAGCTCAGCATCTGCTGCCTGGGGAATAAGCAGAGACAGGAGAGTCAGACTTGGGAGCCTGATGCTCAGGAGAGCAGCCTTAGCTGTCAGCACAGCCTCAACTAGACTGCAGCCTGGCTATCCCAGAAACTCAGGAGTGAGTGAGTGAGTGTGTTTGTGTGTGCGTGTCCACATCTGTTAAGGACTTTTGATTTTCCATAAGACAGGGTCTCATGAGCCCAAGCTGGTCTCTGACCAAGGACAAGGTCTGTAGCCAAGGACAGCCTTGAATTCTGATCCTCCAGCCTTCTCCAAGCTGGGATTACAGGCATCCATCATGTCTGGTTAGATTTAACTCTTGACAGGAAGGAATCACTTACATTCAGCCTTTCTTTATATCTAAACTATGAAGTCTTAAAATACCCATTACTATATAGCAAATATTTTAAAAACTAGATAATGTTAAACTTCTTTCAAAGTGACAAACACTTGCAACATAGAACAAACATGTATGTGCCTTTGCAGGATCCCAAATACCTGGAACTTCTAAAGTTACATAGATTCATTGACTCTGGAAGAAAGAATACTTGCTTTGTTACATTATTAAGAGCTCAATAGAATTTTCCTCTGGATCTGTTCCATCTTCTTACCCAACAGTTTTGTGTGTTTCCATAAGGATGGTTCCATTTGGTCCCGGGACAGGCATGGAATTGTAGCGAATGCTGACTTGAGACTTTCGAAGCAGACCCTCTCGGGCTATCTTGAGTCCTTCATAAAACATTGCTAGTAAAAACACTGCCACGAAAGCTCCAGCCATTTCTGAGGAAAAAAGAGACAGGACAGGAAAGGGGAGGGGAGGGGAAGGAGAGAGAAAAGGAAGAGAGAAAGGTACAATCAAAATTGTTAGTGAGCATCCTGCTGTGCACATTGACACAGGCCTGTGATCCCAGTGCTCAGGAGGCGGAGGCAGACAGTGATGAGTTCACAGTCAGCCTGGGCTATATGGCAAGAAATTATCTCAAACCAAACCAATCCAAAAAAGCATCAGGCTCAGTTTGTGAACATATCGAGTGGTTTCATTTCAACTCACTTGGTAGAGCTGAGTCTTTAATGAAAAATCACTGCCTCTGTTCACGATCATACTTTCTGATTATATCCAAACTCATACAGAATATTGAAAGAAGGCATAGCTAACTGTTGTTTTATTGTTTAGCAGGGTTTTATTGTGTAGCCCAGGTTTATCTTGACCTCCTGGTGATTCTCCTGCCTCAGCCTCTTGAGCAATGGGATTAAAGGTTCACACTATTACACCAGTTAAAACAATCTGCTTTTACAAGTGCTGCCTATATATTTTGAATACACATTTTAAGGGATTATGCATATATAGTTAAGCATTGATAAGATGAATTCTATTTATAGGACTAACAAATTTAAGACACTACTAAATGCTTTCTTTTCCTCTCCCAAAAGCAATTTGGTTTATTTCCAAACTAGGTTTGGTACCTTATGCAGTTTAAGTGACTACTAAACACAAGCAATTGGTGTTTAAAGGTAAAGCATAACAATATACAGAACAGTGAGTGACAGCTACCTTAAAATGAAGAGCAGCTCTATGATATGGTAAGCATCACGAATATGGAAGTCATCATTTGATGCAGCAGAGAAAGCACTGGTTTAGAGAGAGTTCTAGAAAGTATGGTCCTTGTTTTAGTTTTGAGGTACTAACTGCGATTCAGGGCGGGCATGCCATTTCTACTACATGAGGGTTCGGTTTATCTGTAAACAGGCAGTCATGAGATTAACACTTGTTTTTGGAGGCAGCATCTATGTAGTCCTGGTTATCCTTGAACTCTCTATGAAGACCAGGCTGGCCTTGAACTCACATAGATTTTCCTGCCTCTGCCTCTCAACTGCTGGGGTTAAAGGTGTGTGTTCCCATCCTTGGCAAGATCAGCCGTTTTTTAACTAGGGTTACATTGTGATACTTGAATGTGCTTATAGTCTTAGGTGGAAGATCAGTGACTTATCAAGCAAGAAAAGGACTGAAAAAGACCTTTATCTGGCATTTTAATTATATTTTAGTGCTCCAAAGCATATACATTAATTAAAGGAAGCTCACTGGAAGATTGTATTGCCTCTTTTGCCTAGGGACTAGGAATTGTGATGTTATGTAGCACAACCATACAGACCCAGTGACAGGACAGAGAGAGGTGCTGGGTTTCCAAATCTCATGACACTGTCATCTTCAAAGATTATCTGATGGTTACTCACCTCCAGGTGTGTTGATTACCAAACCGGAAAACAATAGGTCCACATTCTTAAAGCCAAAGTAGAAGGTCATAGGCTGCCAGAAAAGCAAACAAGTCAGTTAGAGAAGAGCAAGGATCCTAATGGGAAGGTTCTAAGAGATTTAGAACATTTAAAAGTAACATGTCTGGAGAAGAAGGAATTCTTGAAGCAGTGGGAGGCTTTACTACCTCGGCCCTAAGAGTGTACCCCCCCACCCCCCAAATTTAATGTGTTTCTCTCTTTTCTACACGAAACACAAACACTAGGATTTAATTCAGGAAAAGGTGAATTTCAAAAGGATTAGGGAAGAAAGAATTCTAGAAAATCTTGGTTCTGGTGTCAGTCTGTAACAAGCCTGCCACATGAACACTGGTAAGCCACAGACTCGCCTGGGGGGAGTCACCCCGAGTGGGACCCTTACCATCATCATCATCATGCTGTCCCCTCCACCGTGGGAGTGTGAGGCTGAGGTGGTCGGGTGATGGTGAGGCGGCATGGTAGTGTTGTTGTCCGTGTGGTTCATCCCCATATGGTTCATTCCCATATGGTGCACCCCCATATGGTTCATCCCTATATGGTCGGAAGGATCCAGTTTTCCAGAAAAAGATGAGATTCAGCGGAAAAGTCTTTCAAGAAAAACAATTATATATTAAAAACAGAATTTTCTTGATAAATTCTGTGTCTATACAGAATTTTGCTCAATGAACAAAAGCTCTCCTACGTGCAGAGTAAGTTGGACTACTAAGGATCACCTTTGAGAAAAAGGACCAAGGGCTTGTCCTGAGGCTTGAGATACCCATTCCTTACTCTGCAGAATTACTCCTCTAAGACACAGATTTAATGTGTGTTTCATTTAAGGTAGAAAAAACCAGCCCCTTCAGATGACAGGAAATAGATAACTTATAATAATGTAGAAGTGTAAGCCATTAACAAAATGTAATTGCTCTAAGGTGGTTTAATCATGAATAACAGTAGATAAAAAGCCAAGGCTTCAGATAAGTCTCCTAATTGGGGTGGTCTGCGTTTAGCCAGGATGTTCAGATTCCACGTAGGCTTAGAGGACAATCAACTTTGAACTCATTTAAATCTGGAGAAAGGTCTGTTGCTGCCTCAGGCAAAGAGTGTGCCCAGACTTCAGAGACAGTTTCAGTCGCACCAGGACATTAGAGTTAAGAACATGAAAAACAAGGTATAAATTGGATGAATATATTAAATTAGGTTTGGACGCTGCATATTCAGCCTTGTATCTTGCATCACGTTAATGCTTTTCTGCAGAGGTCAACATGAGTCAAGGGGCAGTAACGCCCATGGTTTCTGTGGAGGCTGGGGACTGGGGAGTTGGGATATATGTACAGAGGGAGATTTTCATAAAAATCTGCCCTTTTCCCTCCCTCCCTCCCTCCTCCCCTCCCTCCCTCCCTTTCTTTTCTTTTTTTTTTTTTTTTTTTTTTTCAAGTCGAGGTTTCTTTGTGTAGCCCTGGCTGACTTGGAACTCCCTCTGTAGACCAGGCTAGCCTCAAACTCAGCCTCTCAGGTGTGTGTCCCTTTTCCCTCCCCCACTAAAAGCCTGTTTTTTCTAAGTTTTATTTATTGTATGTATATGAGTATTCTGCCTGTATGTATGAATGTGTATTGTTTGTGTACAGTGCCCATGGAGGCCAGGAGAGGATGCTGGATCCCCTGTAATTAGAGTTACAGATACATGTGAGCCGCCATGTGGAGTGCTGGGAATGGAGCCTGGGCCTTCTGCAAAACCCAGCAAGTTTGTTTAACCTCTGAGCCAACTAACAAGTTTGCTTAACCTCTGAGCCATCTGCCTACCTCCTGAAATCTCTTTGTGTCCCACAACAGTATGTAGAAAAAATTCAAAATAGGGGCAGGGCATGATGGTATACACCTGTAACCTCAGCACTCAGGAGGTTGAGGGAGACAGATTCTGAGTCTGAAGCAATCATGGCTACACTGTGAGACCTTGTCTCAAAAAAGTAAAAGAAATTAAAATTAGGTATCCATGGACTTGAATCTGTGTATGTTTCTGATTATTCATCAATCACACTCCTATCAAGGGCCAAAGTTGGAGCTAAGTACTAGTAATCCACAGCAAGAAAAGCAAAGTACCTGATCAGGAGAGAAGTAGCAAGGTGAACAGAGTAATCTCATGATGTAATCAGCACTATGGAGGAAGAAGCAGGGCAGTGTGACATCGCTAAGATGTGCACAGATGCTCCCCGAGCAGAGCATTCACAGCCAGGAAGCTACAAATCCAACAAGAGCACAGATGTGCACCCTCCTCTCTCAATTCCTACCCATGACTCTATGACAGCAGGCTTACAAAACAGGCACAATTCTTTCACACAGGCAAGTTCTACTGTCATGCTAGACCCTACATTATCATTATAGACTTGACAATGTATCTAGTCCCCTTAACACCATTGTTATGGTACTAAGTGTAAATGAAAAATTTATAATAAACACCAAATAACAAAATATAATAGTGAGCCCACAAGTGTCAACAATGAGATCATGGGCCAGCAGTCAGCAGTTTTCCTTTAAAAAAGAAAATTATGATGGAATGGTGGGATTATTGGTCATAACTTTTGATTCTGAACCAAATAAATGAAATGGCATCAGGATAAAAGGTACCAGAATGACTAATAAAGACTCACAAACAGAAGTTACAAATTTTATTTTCTTCCATCACAAGGCTGGAAGCATTAACACAAAAGTACCAAAGATAATTTCATTCCATGTTATCAACAGGAATCCAGGCCATGGAGAGGCAGTAAACATTTTATTGGGTGCTGTTATTTCTATGAGGCTAAGAGAGATAAAGAAATGAACCAGACTGTCTTTCCTTAGAGACGAAAGAGTTGGAGAAGCTGAGCACACACCTCATGACGTACTCTTTAAAAGCAGGAACACAGCAACACAAGCTACTTGCCCCGTACCCTTGATTTCTTCAAACTTTGCCAACACTGTTTTTTAGTAACAATATTTGAAGACCTGGAGGTTTCCTTTTGTTTAAGCCCCATGTTCCAATTAGAGAGATCTATTTAATGGTAAACTATGAAAACCTCACAGACAGCCCAGTGGCCCAGGACTTCATATTCAGAGCTTTAAACTATGCACCTGCTCTGCAGCATCGTGTGTGTAGGGTGCATTCCACATTCAGATATACCAGGGAAGAGAGCAGGAAGACAATCTGCTTGTTTTTCTTGTAGTGGACAATGGACTTCTGTAATGGGAACCTTCTGCAAGGCTTACCCAGTGGTGTCTGAATAGGGAGATACAGACTGGCGGAAATTAATATACAGTGTAGCTCAGACTGCAGGTTGAAGTCCTTGTGCTCACTAAGCTTACTCTGAGGACTGTAGCTCAGTGACACATCATTTGCTTAGCATGTGTGAGGGCTCTGAGTCTGACCCTAACAGTGAAGGGGTGAGATTAGGAAAAATCCAATAGAACTATGTCAAACCAAATGTATATAAATTATACAATATATAATATTAATGTATAGCAGGAAGAACTTAGAAATTATTTATGAAAACATAATAAATAAGGGCTGCAGTTATAGTTCAGTGGTTTGGCACTCGCCCAGCACAAGCAAGGCCCTGTGATCAATCACCAGCATGGCAGATTATTAATTAATTAATTTATTTATTTACTTATTTATTTAATTTTATATCTTTATTTACTTTATTGTATGAAGTTTTTGCCTTGAGTATATCTCTGTTCACTAAGTGTGTGCCTGGTCACTGTGGAGGTCAGAAGAGAGCGTCAGATCTTCTGGAACGGGACCTATTGATAGATGGTTATGAGCTACTGTGTGGGTACTGGGAATCAAACTTGGGTCCTCTGCAAGAGCAGCCAGTGATTTTAACCGCTGAGATATCTCTCTAGTCCTCTAAAATTTTAGATCATAATAAGTAAATGCTAGTCTATATTTTTTCTGTCAATTTGGCTTTTCAGTGATGTGCCATGTGTCTAGATAACGAACACATGCTCTGTCTGTCTGTCTGTCTGTCTGTTCATCTATCAAATTGGATACACACACATAGCAGCTCAAACATGCTTAACCCATTCCCTGTACAACAGAAATTCTATTCAGAGGAGGAAAATTACTATTGTTGGTTTTCCAGTGATAGCTTTAAGTTGACCCAAGCTTGGTTCATTCTAGAACAAAAATGGATAATGACAGAATAAAGAATAAGTCAGAACCCAGGGGCCCATCAGACTGGCTTAGTTCACAATCTGAATAGTGCAACCTCATCGTAATCTGGAGCTGTTCTGTTTGAAATATTCTTGCTTCTCAAACTTCATGGCAACTTGCTTTCTAAGAACTGTTTTCTGTAATTTAACTCCACCCTTACCACCTCTTTCTAAGAACCCGGTTCAAGGTCCACAAAGTAGCTGGTGTACATTTTATGGAATCGAGTTCTCTGTTAAAAAGCAATTAGTGGACCGAGCAGTAATGAGTAAGAGGCGGAACTTAAAATCGCTGCAATAGAGCAATTATCCAATGGGTTTCTGTTTGGACATTCAATGGGTATATGGCAATTCCACACTAAAACTCAACTGTCCCTTTGCTCCTTATCCACTTCATTTCACCAGGTTCACACATTATTTATAGAGAAGAACTAAGAAAACATGGATAGAACTGAAAAACAAACAAAAACCCTTACTCTTAACTTCCAATCTGATAAAAACCCTTTTGCAATATTGTTATGTTACTGGGCTTCTTATAAGCAGGTAGAAAGAACAGAGATATTGTACTTTTATTTACATTGTTGCCCACTCGGATTAAGCTAGTTTTCTTTTAATAAAATTCAAGTGGGATCCATATTAGGAAATCACCTATGATTTGGAAAATGCACTAAGGCATCTTAACAGCAGGCATGTGGAAGTTCCTAAGCTCCTAGTGTAGACAACTTGTATTCTTTGGAAATACAAAACAGTCTAAGAACTGACAAAAAAACAAAACAAAACAAAACAGCACAGATTTTAAGGAACCTGGTCCGTTCAACAACTAAGACATCTCTTTCTACTCAGCTTCTCATGAGTGCCTTATCTTAAGAGGTACCTGACCTTGGTTCTTCCTGAGACAGATCCCATCAGGTAAAGAGAAATGGCACACCCCACAGTGTAGACTTTGCACTGAATGTTGGCGAGCCTGCTGTTCTTTCTGTGTTGTCCTTTCCAGCACCTAAGCATTTGTATTCATATAAACAGCTTTCTTTCTATTATAATGCATTCAATCTACCCCTAAGAACTATCAGAAAAAGCAGTTTCCCCTCTTTTCTCTAACAAAGACTCACCTAAAAGATCCACTTGAGGCAGGTTGAGGCAGAACTGCAAACCCAGCACTTGGGAAACAGGTCACAAGTTTCAGGACAGCCTGAGCTACATAAGGAGACCCAGTCTCAAAAAGCCAATCCAAGCCAAGTAAAACAAAATGCTTAAAAAGCTAGACTTCAGAAGTCCTCGAATCTCTAGCAAAATAAAAATGAATTTGTGGTCAGAAGTCAAAGCATCAACAGAAACCCAAATCCTCATGTACCGTGAGTCTCAGCATCACTGTGTTTCTAACAGGTGAGCTCTAAGCTTCATATTAGTTTATTTTCCTGGT